GGATGTCCGACAGTAGTCATCAGCATTTTGGGCAACAGATTTTCGGGGATGGTGGATTTTCAATAGTGCAATTTTCCGAAAGCTTCAAAATTTCTTATTTCACTGACCGTATGATGATGACGTTTGGTACGTGAAGTTTTTTTAACTCATATCTTCGAACTGTTTATATATTTGAAAATATTTTCATACTCTGCATGTGAACCACGTGTTTGCGATGTGATAAGTACGAGATATAGCGGTTTTCTCTATCCAAAAAGCATAGTTCCGTAGCAGAAGTGTTAGCACTGTGGGAATGAACAAAGGATTTTCTTTTGGCGCAGGACCAAAGTTTTGGCTGATGTTACAGTTTTTTCAGCTGTAAACATAATACACTATGTGTACTTGCCAAAAATGAGGCGTTAAGCATCTGTTACAAATAAGTGCTGGAATGTGTAACGAATCCTGGTTTTTCAATAATAAGGCGGTTATGGGCATTCGCTGATGTATGAATACATATTTCAGTTCCGGTGTTGTAGCAAGTGTTTTCCGTTGCCATCTTATGAAATTTTAACTGCAATAATTGACTGCTTCAGGTACTTTCGCAGATGTAATTTTCAGTTTAGAGAATCCGTCATAAAAATAAACGCTAGAAAAAGAGAAAGTTGAACGTTTATTTTCGGATGCTAATTTCAAGTTCGCGCCACCAAAGTTTATCCTTTCTGTTAAAAAAACACTGAATTCGTGCACTATACGATGTTCGCCTTTCCTCTGACTTTCTTCTGTCTTCTGACACAGAAGTCCCCGTTAGAATAGTTGATGAACAATGTTATTACCTAATAGTAACGGCTTCTGTGCCAGAACACGAAACAATAGAATAAACAATATCTCTATCGCGCTTAAAGTCATTGTTTGTTGAAAGTTGAACGAATAATTATAACAATTAATATTCAGATGTGTTTCAGGGGCTACGCAGTCACAACTGCGTGACGTTAGGTCTCTTTAAAGTCAGTCGTCTTGTCGTTCTGTGAGGTTGATAAATGCATTATCTGTTGGAAAGAGAAGGTGAAGGGTATTCGTTACAAGACTGTACTTGTTGCATAACTGTAGATATTGCGTTAAAAATAAATAATTAGCTGACTGCATAAAAATGAATATATACCAAAGCAAGGGTAAATGATCCGATGTCAGTTGAGTTAATATCGACACAATGGATTTACGATTCCTAATCTTTGAATAACGCTGTCTGGCAACTATCTGAACGTGCAATTGCAACCGCTGGATCACTACTTAGTAGGTGCGGACAGGCAGTAGTCTGAGCAAATTAGAAGAAGAGGCGGCTGGTTTGGTTTATTAAACCACCCTTACATAGAATGCAAGTATGTACAGAACCTTTCTCGCGTGGAAACCTATGCTTGGGTTAGAGATGCATTTTACGAAG